TACACCATTCTCATAATCAATCGTTACGCAATTTCTTTTACCGGCCAATTTTAAATTGGATAAAGCATTGACATTTTTAAAGAAATTAAATACAAATAAGTTATAAATAGAAAGTTTACATTAAATTAAGTATAAATTACGTGATATCTCATTTTGTTTTTAAATGGACTTACACCACTTTCAAAATAAACGGTCCATATGTATAATTTAAATGTTATATTATATATTTTTGTATTTTGTATTTTTTAAGTTGCACCAGCAATATCCCTCAGGAATGTTCACAAAACGCTGAAGCTTTTAATATTTTACCTCCAATTATATCAGCCAAATTGAATACGAAAACTCGATTTGCATTTAAATACGGTAAAATAGAAATTCGTGCGAAATTTCCTGAAGGTGATTGGCTTTATCCAGGTCAGTCAAAATTATATCCAATAATTCACATTCTTTAAGTTAAAAATAATCATTAAATATTGATTTATTTAATCGACAGAACTTTGGTTGGAACCACTTTACTCTCTTTACGGTCCTAATTATGCTAGCGGTCGTGTTCTTCTTGGTTTTGCTCGTGGGAATGCAAATTTGGTCGATACCAAAGATTTTGATAAAATTTTCGATGCTAGAAAATTAGAATTTGGTTTCAGATCAGGTTTTTCAACGATTCACGAAGAAACTATTCACAAAATAATGGATCGTGGTTCTAGATGGAATCAAGATTTTCATGTTTATACGACTATCTGGAATGAAAATGGATTCGAATTTTTAGTAGATGGCGAAGAAATTGGTCGTTTAACTTCTACGACAAAAGGAAGTTGGTTACATCAGTTTAATATCAGTAGTATAACAAACATTTCTCCGTTTGATCAAGAAGTAAGTTTATGATAATTATATAAATAATTATTATTATTATTTATAGTTTAACGAGTTAAAAAAAAAACATTTTATTGCAGTTTTATATCAGTATTGGTGTAGGTGTTGGTGGTAGAAGAGTTTTCCCAGACAATATAATGAGTTCTGGTTTTGTCAAACCTTGGAAAAATGTTGGCGCAAAGGTTCAATCGTTTTCTTTTTTTTTTTAAAACAATTCATTTATTTACTCTCAGCAGAACAAAATTTAATTAATATCTTTCATTAATTATAGGCAATACTACAGTTTTGGAATGCCAGAAATCAATGGTTGCAAAGCTGGAGACGAGATGACAGTCGCAAAACTGCTTTGGAAGTTGATTATGTGAAGGTTTGGTCGTTGGAATAAAAATTGAACGATCTCAAAAGAAATAATCTTCGAAGAAAGTTATTATTATATAAAAAAAAGAATTATTATTGTAATTTATAATCATTTTTGATTATTTTTCTAACATTTCATATCCTTCAAATATTTTTTAAATACGCGTTAAGAAGTTAATAATAAATTATTATTATTATTATTATAATTAAGAGTAATAAATCTCTTTGAATACTTGTTTTCTTTTGTTCATGTGTGTATAATGGCATTTTATATTAAAAAAAAAATGTAATCGTTAAACACACATACAGACAAATTTAATCAGATTTTTGTTACTCTGAAAATAACCGGTTTACTACAAAAATGGCATTGACCTTCGATGTTAATACGAAACCGGTTTACTTAGATTGATATTAAAAAAAATAAAGACAAAAATCTATATTTTTTTTTCTTTCTCGATTTATGATGTTTTAAACATTAGCGAATATACGAAATATCTAATACGAATACATTTAATAAAAGTAAATATGAACTTTAACTATCTGAATCTTGAAGAATTTGTGAAATTAATTCGAATAATAAAATCTCAAGAGAAGAGATGAGAAGAATGACCTTAAACTGGCTATACCACCCTATCCAGTTTCCTTTCATTTTTGAACATGAGTTTTAATCTTTATTTTTCTACATTCTCCAGTTGTCTGACAGCATTTGTGCAGTATCGGTGTGAACAAAACGTATCTCTCTTTACAATCTTCAAATATTATTTATCCTTTTATGTAATTATATTTTTCAAGAAATTATTACTGAAAACATTGTTTGATCAATTTCATTACAAATGACAAATATAAGAAACATACTCGTAATCGGTGTTTCCTTGATTTTGATTTTAAACTGTGAATCTTCCGCGAAAACTCTTCATCGTCCGAAACGATCGAGTGAGTAAGAATTATTTGTAATTTTCTGATTAATTAATTAAAAATAAATATATAAATACTTTTTTGTGTGCAGATGAATTTATCCTACGAAGGTGTATCGCTAATGTGGAATTAATTAAAACGCATTTAACTGAAAGAAATAAAACACGATCAATTTCATCTAATATTGGAAAACATAATATTGACGAAACTGCTATAATACAACGAAACAATAAACGAATTAAATCTAGCAACAATGATCAACAACATTTAAAATTTGCAGATGTTGAAGATACACCTCTTAAAACTGTTAATATTCTCGCAGTACTTAAAGATAAGCCTTTAATATTTCAAAAGAAAAATCCGCTACCTGAGCTTCAACATAATGCACTCAAGAAACCATTTGGAATATCGACTAATGTTATTACCATTAAATCATCATAATCATAAAAAGGACATTTTTCTTTCTGCCAGAAAAATGTAGCTTTAATAAAATCGCTGAAAATAATTGATCACGCGTAATATATGATAGACTTCAAAAAGTAAGTATGAATATGTAATATTTTATATTTTTTCGTAAACAAAACTCTTAGAAAATGTAATTTATGAATTACAGATAAAAATTATTTTAATTTAACGAGCGATTCCGTTTAACTTACTATGTGCACTATGATAATATATCTTCAATAATTTGTACAAAATTAAGTAACAGTCGGTGGCGTTTGTATAGATTCTGGTAACTTTTGTAATTCAACCTATGAAATAATTTGTTGTTAATTGAAAAAGAAATATGTGAATAATGAGAATGAAATAAATATTTGAACGAACCTTTGTAACTTTCATTGCTACACCTTCCGGTAAATTTCTTTGAAGATATTCTAAAAAAGTATCTGCAGTTGATCCAGTCAATTTGGCAAAGTCCATAAATCTGTAATAAGTTCTGGTTTCATATTGTACGCGATGTTTTTTATGTACATGTACAGATTTTAACACTGTTAGTCGTTCAAATATAGGTTTTCTTGGCGTCGTACTATGAAATAAAAATATATACACTTTAATCGATTGATTTATATTATAAAAACATTATAGAAAAATAAAAGAAAGATAAAGTAAAGCTTACTTTCTTAACATATTAATTCCTAAATGACCCGCAGTCATTTCAGTAAATTTACCATAACTTTTAAGTACTGCAGGATCATTTCCTCTTACTTCAATTTCTATTTTTTTATATAATTTGTCAAGATTAGGCTAGAAAAAATATGCATCAAACATGATGTTATGAAAAGGAGAATATCTTCAATATTTACCTTTACATCCTCGTTTTTTACTCCCACTAATTCGGAGAAGGGTTTTGTTAAGATTCCGATATGTCCAGTTTGTCGACGAATTGTATCATTTATAATAATTCTGAACATAGAACCAACCTACAAAAGCAATTGTACAATTAACCTAATTTTTTCGTTGTCAAATGATTTAATAATATTACCTTAAAAGATAACATTTTTATAATGTCACTTTAAAAATAAATTAATTTTATTTATTATATATATAAAATTGTTTTGATATCAAATCTTAATATTAATATAAACTTTTAGATTTGTATTATTGTATTTACACGGATGATCACTTTCTAACTTCTAAACGATTGTATGTTATTAATGTAGGAACCATGCCATCTAACGATGAACATAAATAACTTCATCATCAATTATTATCTTCTCAGATTACCGACTGAAATGCAGTGTAATTTTTATATAAGATGTAGATATTAATAATTAAGGAACAATCAAATAATTATGGGTATTTATCTTAATATTTTAAAAAGTATATACTATTTTTAATATCATATAACTACTGCATACATGCACATATACATAATGATGTTTTACGTTTAGTTAATTTTTTAAACATACTTATATCACACATGTAAATTTTATAATTATTATGTTTAAAGATTAATACAGTGTTGTAATAATTAACATCGTTGAAGTTGATCTTGCAATCGTGCGTAGCGTATTTGTAATATACTTTCACGTTCAGTTCTTGGAACTGCTGCTTCCTCTTGATTTTGTAAGAATTTAAAAGTCGAAAATTCCAAGTAAGCTTGTTTTATTTATGTTTCAGGGTTACAAAATTTTCCACTTAACAAAAATTAAGGTAAAAGAATTTGAAGAATGATTGAATCATCTTTCTTCAAATATCTTCTTCATCAAAATCGGTCAGGATTACTAGAAAAAAAAAAAAGAGATTCATTCGTTGTTATTGCTAAGTTTATTTCTTTACGAATTTGATTGAATACGAAAAAAAAAAAAAAAAAGAAAAACTTTGTTGACAAATTATTTTTTATTTCTCGTATGTAATATATACCTATGTACTTATAAATTCATTTTTTATATCTTCAATCTTATATATAATATATAAAATAATAATTGCGAATCACATCGTAGTTGTTTTGAATTTCATACTTTTTATTGGTTGAAACGAGGTATCGTACTACGTACTACTATTAAACTCATTTGAAAAAAATCATATTAAAATCAATTATTATAAAATTGCGTGTATATTAAAAGAATTAAAGAGCAACTTTAAAATATTATTTATAAAATTCCACTTGTGTTGGGTATAAAATTAAAATTAAAATGCTTCATTGATCAAAATATCAACAAAATATTTGTTTGGTGTACCATCTAGCAGTAAAAGTATGAACTTCAAAAACGATATTCAGCGTTCATTTGTATTATACGTTTCCTGATCAGATTTACACGTAGATATTTGAGAATACATTGGACAACCATACGATTGATCAAGAAACGCGATTTAATCATTCCTTCTTCAATTTACATTGAATAATTTTCATTTCGTTTCATTATAAGGAATACACACAAGAAAGTAAGTTTTTTTTAAACATATTTAAGTACACTATTTTATAGTTTACACATAGATTTTATTTTTGTGCTTAAATTTGATTAGAAACGTCAATGGCATGAGAATTAATATTCAAGTCATATAATTACGTTTATGGTAATAAAGTGAGTTTTTGTCCTTCATGCCTTGGAAATAATTTAATACATGTAGATTAGGCAATACTGTTATTATCATATTTTTTATTTGATTTACATATCAATATTTCTTTTTTTTTTGTTGTTTTTTAATACATAGAATGGCAGATACAGCAACTCCAGGAAGTACGTCACGGGAAGTTTCAGACAAGGGATGGCTTGTTTTAAAACAATTCATTATTGATAACAAAATTAAAGCCGGATTATGGTTTACAAGACTACTAACTATGATATTTACTATAAGTTACATTATTCCAATATTCGGGTAAGTTTTTTATCTTTTGTATTTACTAACTTTATATGTCAACAAAATTTGTCTTTACACGTAATCAATGAATAACTTATTTGCTTTTTGTTTTAGAAACGTTTATAATATATATTACAAAGTTTTAATAAGTCATGCAGCAACTAGCGCATTACGTCTTCATCAAAGACTGCCAAATGTACAGTTTAGTAGAGAATTTTTGGGAATGTTACTTCTCGAAGACTCCTGCCATTATTTATTTTATTCAATAATATTTCTCTATGTTCCTCCAGTAGCAAGTATCCTTTCAAATAATCGTACTACTTTATATCATTTCTTTTTTTAATGTATTATATTATTTAGTTCATCTTTCTTCTACTCATGTGATATTATGTATCACATAAAACACATATTTTTCTTAAACTTGTAATTAGTCGTCCTTATACCTATCTTTTTATTTGCCATGTTGCACTTTTTCAGTTTTTCACTCGCGTTACTCGATGTAAGTATAAAAACATCTTATTATAGATAGTTGTTTAATTATATAAGAGTATAACAGTGCAAAGATCATTGTAAATATAAATTAATATACATGATTCTTTTCTTTCCTTAAGTGTTTAGGACACAATAGTTGGTGGGGTATGCGTCTTCTGATATCTTTGGTTGAGTTTCAGTCTTATAGGATTTTGCGTTTTTGTGCACTTTCTGAAATTATTATTTTACCGTTCACAGTTCTTCTTGTCTTCACGTAAGTCATTAATAATATATTCAATATCAATTTTGTAAACAAGTAAATGGACGAAAAAATAATTATTTACTTACAGGGGACGTGTTGGTTTATTAACACCAATTATGTATTATCAATTTTTGAAACTGCGCCTTGCATCGCAAAGAAACTCATTTACACGCAATATGTTTCACGAAATAAGAAGTCTCTTGAGTGCTGTATCCAAAAAGCCTGCAATGCCAGATATACTTCGTAAAATGATAGAAGGTTTTCTTTCTTTAACTCAACAAATGGCACCAGTACCTCGCCCGTAATATACGCCCGTTTTGAATATTTTTCAAGGGAATTGTTTTTGGATTGTAGGGTCCACACTTTTATAAAATTGAATCTAACGATGATTGAGTGATCATGGTCAAAGAAAGTTTTTGGTATATATATATATATTATAATTTAGCAAATGTAGAAGGTTGAAATCAATCAAAAATGTAATAGTTACATTTAGACACAATTATTACAGTTTTAAGTGAAAAATATACGCGTCTTTTATAAACATTTCATACATTTTAAAATATGACAGAAATTTAATCTTTATAAATCAATTATAAGTATACTTAGAGACATTATCTATTATTTAATTTTAATCATATAAGGTAAATTTTTGTTTTATAAACTAATTATTAAATTCATTAATTAATTACTAGTTGTCAGGTATTTTGGTATATCTTATTTATATAGTTATATAGATGTGTAACATGCAATGGTGTCTAACATGTGGTATTATTGTAATTATAATTATGTGAAATAAGTATTATAAACTATATCTTATGATTTTTTTCTTTATTTATAAGTATTACTTTTACTTAAGCACCTTTTTGTATATTTTCGTTTGTATTTTCTTTTGATCAAATATGCAGTCGTGGTATACTATTTTCTATATTTTTTTTTTGTACCAAGTAGTTTTAATACGATTTATTTTTTGTTTCAAAAGCTTTAGATCATTTTATTCAATAAAAAAGAGACGTTATTTTTAATTTTCATGTAAAAATAATATGAATTCTCTAATAATATGTGTGTATGTAAAATAATCGTATTTCTTGGAATATTTTTTGTATATTTTATATTTTTTATGATCAGTATTGAGGATAAAAAAATATAATACTGAAATAAAAGAATTTCTTATTTTAAGCCATTTTTATTTTGGTTGTAATGTTAATTATACAAGTGGTGCTGGCTGAGGTATGTCTTTCGAAGCTTTAATTTCAGAAGTTGGTTGTAATGGACGTACTTCTTCTTTTGGTTCTGCTATTGATACATAATCTGGAAGAGGATCTTTTGGACCAAGTTTGCCAACAGGATCCCATGGTAACATGATTTTCACTTTAATACCCAATACACCTACAATAAAATAATAATAAGAGAAAATATTAATTAATGTCTAATATTAGAAATTATGTATATTATAATAAATACTAGTACTTATTGAATATATACCTTGACGAAGAAGTACATGACGGGTTGCTGTGTTCACATAGTTGTTAGTTGGTTCTCCTGAATGAATCATTAAACCATCAACGAACTTCATTGACTTAGCTCGCTGACCACGTAGTTTTCCACTGACAACTACTTCACATCCTCGTGCTCCTGATTCCATGATAAACCGAAGAACACCATAACATGCTCTGCGCAACAAATATAGAAATTTATTAATATATGAATTAGGATGATAGAATGAATTATAGAAAATTATTTGTAAATATACAAACCTTCGCACAGCAAGTCCACCAATCAATTTGTAGCGAAGAGATTCAGCTTGTGCAATAGCGCACAGACCACGCTGTGCTACTTTTTCAGCATATAATTCAACATTTTGTGGTTCTTTGAAATTAAAACGTTTCTGTACCACGGAGGTTAATTCTCTGATTCTTCGTCCCTTTTCTCCCAAAACGCTCTGCGTATGTGTGGCTAATAAGATGATCTCTGTACGAGTTGGTGTTACACGAACCTCAACACCAGAATATCCATCTTCTGCGAGCTCACGAGTGAGGAACTCGTTAAGTTCAGCTTTAAAAACTCCATCTCCTACGAACTATAAATATAATGTTAAGTATATCTAATCTTAAACTCATGACATTGATATCAGTATAAACCTAACCTAAAAATTCACTCTTTACTAAGGTAAACAAAACATTTCAACGAAAAGTAAAATATAATTAATTTAAATAATATTTATATGTGCAGTATCATTAAAATATAAAGAATTGTTTTCTATTTAGTATTAAGATTAAAACTTTCTATAGATCACAGCTTCATAAAAAACTGATGGTATAATAGTTACAAATATCCAATGCATCCACCTTGTCGGTACGGTTCACTCTTACATATTTGCACAAATCTTATTTTAATAATATGAAAGATTACAGCAAACATTATATTTTTGGATAATATATACATAATAATTCATTGTAAATCACAAACCTTCTTTTTCTTGGAAATAGATCGAGTACCCATGTTTGCTGCTAACACACTCTAGCAGATCAGAAAATAAAAGAGACTGAGACTAATGCGGAAATGGTGGCTTTGAATTCAGTAGTCAAATCAGAATCTAGGTAGAATAAAATTTTATCGAAATCATTAGAGCTTTATAATCGTGTAATTGTAGAAATTATTAAAAATTTTTATCATCATTAATGCAACATAAAAATATACAATTTTGTATTCGTGTAATATTGTCATCTACACCTTTATTATTCAGTTAAATATATCTCTCGTTTGATTAACGAAGTTAGATCATTGCTTCGCCTTACATTGTTGACAATGCCGAGGAATTACTAGCAATGGCGGAATTTCCGGTTTTGACGGTAACATATACTTGTTATTGAGTCACGTGATTAAGATTCGTTTCGTTTCTCTGGGATCTCGAGTCTCTTATGTATACTACACAACAGTCGTGTATTATGTTGTGTCTTCGACATGGAATGGAAAACAGTGGCAGTAACAATTTTAATAGTGAGCCTTTGTTTTTTTGCCATACCCATTCGCGTTGGCCCTGACAACAATGGCGAAGATATGAAATTGTTCGAGAATTATGTCGTGCGTTATAACAAATCTTATAGAAATAATCCAACCGAGTACAGTGACAGATTCAAACGATTTCAGGTAATAAATAAGATCTATAAATCTCGTTTCATCGTCGTCGCGTTTTCTCGTTTGTTCTGTCAATTATTTTAACATCGAACCGACGAAATTTTTCCCGCGATTAGTTTGTTCGAATTTTTATTCTTATTAAATTTAATTTCCCGCGCTTATTCATCTTCCCTTCCTCCCGCCCTACCGATCAATTTCAAATACTTCTTAAATTTGTTTTTCTCTTATTTAAATTGTGCATCAATAAAAATTCAATTTTGAAGAAACTAATAGGATTATTATCCTTTCTCAGAGATCTTTACGACATATCGAGAAAATGAATGGTTTACGATCTTCTCATAAAAGTGCTTATTACGGAATTACGGAATTTTCCGATATGTTGGAAGATGAATTTCTACAGCAAATCCTTTATTCTGATTTATCGGTTAGAGGTGAGATTACGTCGAAGTAATAATAATAAATGTTTTCAATTAAATGTTTTATTGTTGACAAATTTGATAATATTATGCAATGATGTTTTTTGTGATTTTGTTATTTATCAATTAGGAAGAAAACACGTTAGCTCAACTTATCATCACGAGCATCATAAAAGAAAAGAAAGAAATCATTTAGAAAAAAGAGCTGCAGGTATACCATTGAAAATAGATTGGCGTCAGAAAGGTATTATTTCTCCCGTAAAAAGTCAAGGACCTTGTGGTGCCTGTTGGGCGTTTAGTACAGTCGAGGTAGTCGAATCGATGTATGCATTAAAAAATGGCAGTTTATATTTGTTAAGCGTACAAGAGGTAAGTTAGTGAATTTTTTGAAGACTAGATAAAATACTTCCCCTCCTATTATGATAATATACTGTTTTACATATCGCGAACACTTGTTGTAGTTTATTCGCTAAGTATGTAATATGTTTTTTTTTTATCGTCCGAATATAAATATATCTTACGTAAGAAGTTTCATTCTGTAATACTCGCAGATGATTGATTGTGCAAAGAACAGTAATCTCGGTTGCGAAGGTGGTGATATTTGCAGTTTACTTGCGTGGTTAAAATCAACCAAATCACCGATATTACCGGAGTCCAATTATCCGCTCACACGTATGACCGATACGTGCAAACTGAAAGGGTAAATTTTCGGATTAGATAAACTTAATCGAATAAGATTATGATAATACAATCTAGTAATGTTTGTATATTTCAGTGCTAACGCAAAAACATCGGGTATCAAAGTGATGGACTTTACCTGCGACAGGTAATTCAATTTCTGTTTTATTACTTTTATTTAGATTTTTAATCGTTACGAGAGAAGAAATATATTTACTTATGGAAAAAAATGAAGAAATTGAAGGATTTCCAGTGGAGATCAATTGCTATGGAGATCGCGTAATATAAGCATCGTATCAGTAAAAGGTTTTGTTATATAAGTTGACATGTTGTATTAACATGTTTGTGTAATAACGTTATAATTCTTAGAATAATTTATGAACGTTTAGGAGAATTAATCTTCAAATCGATTTTCTACATAGATACAAGGCTTAAGAGTAAATAATGTTTAACTGATAGATCATGTTAGCTTTATAGATTCAGAAGAGGAGCTTCTGATAACGTTGGCCACTCATGGTCCTGTGGCCGCTGCGGTGAATGCATTATCCTGGCAGAATTATTTAGGTGGTATTATACAGTATCATTGCGATAGTGCTTTTACCAGTTTGAATCATGCTGTACAAATAATAGGCTACGATAAATCCGACACTATACCTTATTACATTATCAAGAATTCATGGGGTAATGCTTTTGGTGATAGAGGTTACATATACATCGCTATTGGCAGCAATCTTTGCGGTGAGATGATAATAATACGAATTGTTTTATAAATCATTTGTTTGTTTCATTCTTTTTTTATGAAGATCTGATGTATTATTTTTATATATTTTTCCTTTTCGTATCACCAGGAATTGCTAATCAAGTTTCAGCAGTGGATATCATCTATAAATAATGGAATGTATAACGAGATTACGTTAATATATAGTTATCATATTTAAAGTATATGATATATTTATCATTAAATATGAAATATTTTTAAGTATTTAATATTAATCTGTGATTGATAATAAGAGAGAGATTAAATATAATATATCAATATTTTTCATATGCAATATATTTGATCAGTATTTCTGATCAGCGTTGACAAAAATTACAGAGATTTATAATTTTGATATTAAATATCTTATTCTATTAATTGAAATTAATAAGGACAGTTTGATGATAAGATCAAATTTGTATCTAGGATAAGTAAAATAATAAAACTAAAAAGATTTTACAATTTTATTATATGTTACAAGATATTTGAATTTATAATAAAGATATTATTTATCTATATATATAAATGTGAAGTACGATTAAAAAAAACAATTCATGTAAATTGAATATTATTTCAACCTTATGAATAATTACGAATTCACGAGCTTTCTGTGTCATTTTCAGCGTTATTCTGATTGTTATCGGTATTCCTGCCGTTCCAAGATATCGAAAGTCTCGTTTTCATTTGCTTCGTTAACGGTGGAATTAAATGTCTAGGTATTAAGAACGTAGACAAGTTGAATAAGTCTAGGAACACTTTGTATCTGTCGCTATTAATTGAAACGTATGATAATATTAAATTTGATAAAATTGTTTGTTATTTTATTAGTTACCTTAATGTAGATTTCAGGTATTGATAACCGGAAGATCCACCAGTTCCCAATTGTTGAGAACCGATCATCCTTTGGACCATGATAACGTGATTATCTACGAAAATACAAATATACGATTTTAATGCATTTCTCAATTATTCGCGTAGTTAAAAAAAAAATCAGGTTGAGTTAAAAATCAATAATTTGGACAATCTTACACCTCCATTTAGTAATCAAAGAATCAATGTCCATCAATGCAGTCAAAATTTGATGGGGCTGACTGAATCTTGGTTCGTCTCTGTACAATGTTATCATAACGGCTCCTTGAAAAGCAGCATAGGAAAATCTTCGTTCTCCTCTCGAGACAAGAGCGTTATGAAGAGATTCCTCAAAGATTGTTTCGAACATGGCTTGACGAGATTTAACGCTGTTCATTAAATATAACTTCATTTGTTCCTTTGATTGTTTCTATGATCAAATATTTCTATCTCAGATAAATCGTAAAAAAATTGAAACTTGATATTTTTCTTTTAAATAAAAATAAACCTGTGCAGTTTGTTCTTGTTCGTATAGCATTCGTTCGACAGCTCTCTTGTACTTTCCCCAAAAGTCAAAGTCGTAAGATTCTAAACCCGGTGTTCGAGCCAACCACCTTTGTACCAAACAACTCAAACTAGGATCTTCTTCCGAACGTTTGATTTCCTCAATGGCTTTCGGATCTCTTCCGAAAACTCTCGTGTAACTTTGATTGTACTTTACTCTGTGTTCTTGTTTAACACCAAGTTTGTTTTCCAGTAATCGAAATTGCAGAGATTGGAAACCGGAAGCTGGGCAAAGGTAATCACGGAAAGCCATGAAATCCAACGGTGTCATGGTCTCTAAGATCGTAACTTGATCTACTAGAAGCTGTTTGAAAAAAAACGTAAGCAAGAGATAATGTTGAATATTTTTTTTCTAACGTAAGTATTTAATACGTTTTACCATTGGTATATTTCGTTTCGTATATTATTCTAATTATAGATTTCGTGTATCTTATAATTTTTTTGTTTTTTTTTTTCAAGAAAATTTCTTTCTTTCGAGTATACATAAATAAAGCTTATTGATTAGACCACAGGTATATTCCGCATTTATATGGTTGCTTGGTGCAGACACTTATCGTACTCCTCTTTAACATGGATTTACTACGACAGTGAAATAAATTAAAGGTGACAAATCGTTTCTTCGCTTATTTTTTCCTTCTAATCACGCGAAAGTTCATCGATAGATCAATTAATGTCAGAGATTCTTTATGGATTCCTTTTAAAATAGTTTTACCATTGCGATCATTTTGTTCTATTAAAATATTAATGTCAACTCTTTAGTTTGTTCTTACGAGATGTTTAACACGCGTTCAACGAAAGCAACAGTAATATTTTTATTTTTTAATTGAAAGGTGGTAGAGATAATGCAGGGGCAGGGGAAGGGGGAGGGGTTGGAAGGGGGAGGGGGGTTAATAACCGCACGCATATTTTGCGGTAAGGAATGAACGGTAATAATAAAATTATTACTCAAGTTCTTTGCGCCTATGGTTATCCATAAAAGGTGTCACGTATCTTATGTCGGTATTATTTTACTCAGGTTCCGTATATTATTTCAGTGGTCCTTATACACACACACACAAGGTTTGTCGTGCCTGGTTGTTAATAATGTGAAAGGAAAGGAAGAAACAAAAAATTGTAGTGCCCATCGTCGTTCGTTCGGCTTTGATAATCGTAATATGGATCGGTTTCATTTCATATCCAGTTTTACTGTGAGAGAAAACATATTTTCATTCTTTTCTTTTCTTTTCTTTTTTTTTGTTGTTGTTGTTTTCTTTCACGAGAAAATAAAACGAACGTAACGCATGCCAAGACACCACCACCACCACAACCATCACACTAATGACATTAATGATTGATTAATTTTGCATAAGTAAATTAGATTATAATATTTGCGGTAACGTAATTATTATCATTGTGATAATTGATATCATTTATTTGTTATTATTAATAATCCTTCATCTTTAACTTCCGATTTGACTTTTTTTTTACATTCGAATTTACAATTTGAGCCGTTTATTTTGAAAGTGGCGTAAGTCACTTTTTCAAAAAAAATCTAATTAATGGCAACACTAATTACAATTGATCGGTATCTTTTCGTTTAAAAAAAAAAAAAGAAAAAAAAAAGAAAAAAGTGACTTATGCCACTTTCAAAATAAACGGCTCATTTGTAGATTCGAATCTTTCTTTTTTTGTTTTTCTTCTGTTCTTTTTTTTTGGAAATAATAATAATTTAAAAAAAAAACATACTTTCAATATAAGAACGATGCGATTGAGTCGTTTGAGAATTTGACTTATGCCATTTTCAAAATAAACGGCTCATTTGTAGATTTGAATCTTACTTTTTTTGTTTTTCTTCTGTTCTATTTTTTCTTTTTTAGGGAATAAAAAAATAATTTACAAAAAGAAACATACTTTCAATATAAGAACGATGCGATTGAGTCTTTTGAGAATTTCCAAAGTTTTCGATTCGTTCAAGACATGAGACGGTCCATTTTGAATCGTCGAGGTGTGATTGGTAATGTTGTAAATGTTCGAATCCGAACTGAAGAGTGATCTGACCGAATCCAATTCGTAGATAATCTGCTTGAACCATAATTCGTATGCTGCGATCAAAATGAAAATACTTGTCTTTATTATCTTTTCTTTTTTCTTTTTTTTTTGTTTCTTTTTTCTGTTTTGAGATTTTATTACGAAACCGAGGAAAAGATCTTCGTAATACCTTGGTGAGTAATGATAAAAAGATGCTCATCGTGTACCTCTTCATTGCACTCAGCGCTGAGAAGTCTTTGCGCGGTTAAGATTTTATCTAAACGAAGATACTCTCCGTAAAGCAAGCCTGGTCCTTCAGTTAATTGAGTTTTCTCTTGACTCTGATCATCTCTAAGAGAAGAAAATAACTGCGGATCAATTTTACTCTTTGATAATTAAAAAAAAAAAACAAAAAAAAAAAAACATCGAAAAAGAAAAATATAAAATGAAATATATTTCGATTAAGATATTATACAAGATAAATAGATAAATATTATAAACAAGAGTACAACACAGAGTAGTGTTCGAAAAGTTATGGTAGGATAACGTTTTTAAAAAATTGACTCTATATATAAGATAGTGAAAACGTATGACTGTAATAAAAATGATGTTATATTGACTTATGAACATAACTATCAAGTTGCTGAGGAAGTCTCAAATTGAGACGAAACGTTCAACGGATAAATATATTGTTCATCTTATTTAAACCTGTCCAAAAAATAACATCCCTAAGAAGTAAACTTAGTAATATTATAAACAATTGTCTTTTATAATTATCGAATAAAACGAAATTCTAAAATTTATTGTGTTAGAACACATAAATATCTAGATTTAGCATGATCTTTTTACCCTCTTAGAATTTTTTCTCATCGTTATCTTATGTAGCATGAGTCAAGGAGAAAATTTAATACCACATGCGTCGAATCTTTTGATTAATATAATTGGGTGTGATATTAAATTTTATACATATGTATATATTATTTTCTATAGATTATTTAATTAAAAACACGCATATAGAGATAATAATCGAGATAAACAAAAATAAAATAAATAATAAAAGAGAAATATATATTTGTAAAAAAAAAAAAATGATGCAAGACAAAAATATTCATAAAGTCGATCTCTTATAAATATATATTTGTTATTAATATTTTTATTATATTATATATATTCTATTAACATCTATTCTTACCACAGAAAGAATTTGACTTAATAATTATCATCGAATGTTATATAATTTTTAATTATAAAAATTCACTCACGTGATCGTTCCCGACAAAGGACAGGCCATTGTTTTTTCGTCAACGAAACTTCTTTTAATTCTACACCAAAATTAACTTATTATTTTGATTTATTAATATTAGTTGATGTAAATATCTATTGATAAACACTGCATGGATTATAATTTAATGTGAAAAGTTAAATGATTTTTCTATAATTAAATTCGTTTATAGTTGCAATCTTTGCCGAAAATATCAACTCCCGATACAAGTCGTCGAACAGATGGTTGGCGTGCAACTAAAGAGTGAACGACTCAGAACACGCGGTTATCCTTCTTATAGGCGACCCTATATTATATGTAAGTGTTTACTCATTTACTTACTTACATATTTCCATAGTTATTTACTCGTATACCAGTTAAAGCCAAATATTACAATATTTCTAATGTTTAAGATTACAATTGTATTACGGTTAATTTCAAATAAATTATATCTATCGATTATTTATATTCACTTATCTATCATCGTAATTAAATATTATTACACTGTCTCCAAATAATGAGAGAGTGTAATTCATTCACATTTTCATTTATATTTAATAAAATATATATTTGTGTGTGTTTTAAAAAAGGATTTTTCTTTTTTACGACGATGAACAATTATTTTGAAATATTTTTAATTCGACGAGTAAGGAGAAATGTTTTCTAATCATTGCATGATTGTTAGGTTTGAGAAAATGTGATTAGAATGATGCAAAATATCATAATGTTATCATTATTTATCTAATTAAACAAACGGTCACATTTTTATATTTGGAAT